AAAAAAAAAAAAAAAAAAAAAAAAAAAAAAAAAAAAGTACCTGTTTGCAGCTCCTGGATAGAAGATGGGGCTAGGTTGATTCTGATCAGTATTCGTGCCTGCACCAGGCTCTCCTCTTCATCAGTGGAAGAGCAGTTTGGAACTAAAGAGAATGCACATTGGACAGCAGCAGAGTGGCGGCAGATCTGCTTGAATCCATCAGACATGGAGCAGGTTCAAACTTGAGCCGTGTGTGCCTCCCTTCCGTTCTGTGGCACTTAGTGTGTACTTACTGGCAAAAGTTTATTGAGCCCCCATCTTGAGAAGCGTCAATGTGGAGCCACAAGGAAAAAGAATACCTGAAATTACAGAATTCGAGGAGAGGGCCCTATGAGATGGATGAGGAAAACAGCCTAGGAGACAACTGGGAATTTTGAAAGAACCATAAGGCAAAGCTGTCAGACAACTGCCTTTGAGATGGGCACATTCCAAACCTGAACTGTCCAGTGTGCTAGCCACTGGCTGCATGGAGCTTCTGCATATGGGAGGCTAGTATGAAGATTTTAAGTTCAAATTTTATTTATTTTTGAGACAGTCTCCCTTTGTCACCCAGACTGGTGCAGTGGCACAATCCTGGCTCACTCCAACCTCTGCCTCCCAGGTTCAAGTGATTCTCCTGCCTTAGCCTCCAGAATAGCTTGGATTACAGGTGCCTACCACCACACCCAGCTAGTTTTTGTATTTTTTGGTAGAGATGGGGTTTCACCATGTTGACCAGGCTGGTCTTTAACTTCTCACCTCAGGTGATCCTCCTGCCTCAACATCCCAAAGTGCTGGGATTATAGGTGTGACCCACTATGCCTGGCCATAAGTTTAACATTTTCATTGTCACATATGGTGGTGGCTAATGTATTGGACAGTGCAGCTCTTAGCTACCAGCAATGTTCTGCAGGCCACTGAGATCCAAGAGAATTTCAGCAAGATGAAACGTTTATCTCCCAAATTCTGAGATCTAAAGATGCATGTCATTTTCACTGAGTCCTGTATTTGTGTACCCTAAATTCTGTTTTTAGAAGTCTGCCTCTTTGGCGAAGGCAGCTCCAGAGGAGTCCCACAACAACGTCCCCCTGAGGCGGCAGTGGCGCCTGCAGGGACCACTAGCAGCCATGGGCTTGGGGAAAGTGGGGACCAAGGCCCAGCTTCTGTGTCCTGTCAGAGAAAGGCGAGCAGCCCCTCAGGGAAGGATCAGCCTCCATGCGAGGCCTCCTGACGTCCCCAAGCAGCAGCCCCAGGCCGTAAAATCCCTGTCTCCAATTCAGGAAGAAGAGTCTGAGATTCCTATGCCTAGAAAAAGTAACAACTGGGTGGGGCACGGTGGCTCACATCTGTAATCCCAGCACTTTGGGAGGCCGAGGTGGGTGGATCACGAGGTCAGGAGTTCAAGACCAGCCTGACCAACAAGGTGAAACCCCATCTCTACTAAAAATACAAAAAAAAAAAAAAAAAAATCTGGGTGTGGTGGCATGTGCCTATAATCCTAAGTACTTGGGAAGCTGAGGCAGGAGAATCGTTTGAACCCAGGAGACAGAGGTTGCAGTGAGCTGAGATTGCGCCACTGCACTCCAGCCTGGGTGACAGAGTGTGACTCTGTCTCAAAAAAAAAAAAAGAGGAAGACAGTTCTGCCCTCTCTCAGGAAGTTTCCATTGCTGCATCTAGACCTAGGCTGGGCTGGTGCAGTAGAAGCAGGACACCTATTTCTTGTCATGGTAATACAAAGAACACCTGAGGCTCTCAGGGCAAGACCAGTTCATTGCAGCTCATCTGCAAGGCAGAACCAAATACAGACCAGCTCAGTGATGACATTGGAGAAGAGCATCAGTCTCCAGGTGGCATTAGTGAGGATGAAGAAGAGACATTGATCAGTGAAGAGGAGACATTCAAAGATGACCCAAGAGATGAGACCTATAAACCCCTCTTAGAAAGGGAAACCCCAAAGCCATGTGAAAATCAGGGAAAGTGAAAGGGGAGAAAGAGAAGAAGGAAATTAAAGTGGAAGTAGAGGTAGAGGTGAACAAAGAGAATGAAATTAGGGAGGATGGGGAACCTCTGAGGAGGAGAGGAAGAAG